TTGTTTATAATAATATGCCAACAATGTTAATACTGTTGTATAATATGGGTGGTTCTGCCCTATAGAAAATTTGCATACAGAAACTCTGTATGAATTATAATTTTTATTGCTATGAAATGATTATTATAAAAGATATAAAAGATACAGAATTATTCCAAAAAAATTTGTAAAATCTAGGGGTATGGGGGTTCAACAAGAATGTTACACTCTAATATTTCACAAAACCAAAACTGTCCACCCTTGAAATTCACAAAATTTTACCATTTTATATAACAATAATTTTTTTGCTTTGTAAACTTTTCAAATAAAATAAATACACTTTTTGATCCAAAAAATTTTTGTTCTTTAAGGTGAAAAAGAAGTAATGGTCTTGTTTTTTTTTTCAATAAAAGAAGAGTCCAATATTTAAATAAAATAAAGCTTTTTGGTTTTTCTTTATTGTAATTAGGAAAGATCTTTTATTAAAGCTTTAAAAAAAATTTTTTTTATGCTTATATTTATTGGAAATATCTTCTAAAATATGTTCCTACCAGTTTTATGGCATTCTACCTTTCTTTTTAACAATACTTTTACTATCTTATGACCTGATCCTCATATATCTTGGAAAAGAAAAAAAATATAAATAATTTTTTATATCAAATAAATATCTTGGAGATAATATAAATTTGGTTTTTTTTTGGAGTCACATTTGTACAATCATTTTTTTGATTACAGGGCATTTTATTTTCAATTTTTTAAGTTTATTAGTAAAACATATGAAATTGATATAGTGGACAGTTTTAGAACAATGAAATCATACTATGTAACATTCTTGTTGAACCCTATACCCCTAGACCATACAAAATTTCAAAAATTTCAATTCTTTCAATTTGTTCATTTTTAATAGTGTTCCATGTCACAACCCAAAAAAGGAAACAAAATGGTTGTAAAGGTGGTAGCTACCATCATCAAAACTTGCAGCCAGTATCCTTAATTTTTAATATGGGCATACTGCAACAAAACCAGACAAAGCAAACATTTGTATTACCAAGAGTTACAGGGATAAAAATTTAGTTATTATCATCACAATTAGTTTTATAATGTCCCATTTGTTAAGTGATATATAGAACTATCCACAACATGATAATTAACATGTTTAGTATCTCAAATTGGTTACAGAAGGTGAACCACTTATGTCAAGTGCAGATAAATTATAACAAATCTGATATCAAATAATAAATTAAATTTTTTAATATTATATCATGATTAGAGAGAGTATCTAATATTTATTTATTCATATTTTTATGCAGCTACAGGAATTAGATTGTTTCCCAAAGAATCATACAAAAATCAATAAAATTGACATTGACCTCATGAAATTAAAGGTATACCAAATTTTACTAGAAATAGGACAGATTATTTAAATTACTTGTTGTCCACTATTTTACTCATCTTTTATATTCCAGTGGTTTCTTCATCCTTTTAAAGAAAACCATATATATTATCTTCATAAGTTGCTTATTAAATGAAAGGCAATGAATTTTTCTTTTGAAGTGGGTGATAAAAATTTTTTCTGTGTACCACTTATAATGATTTGCAATGTCCTACAACTGATAAGGTGGTTGTAATTTGAGCTGCAGGCATTTTATTGTGTATATAAAATAAATAAAATTCACAAATACTTTCACTTATTGACAAGTTATTGGAAGGTGCAATGTGCAATCCACAAAATGTTCCAAAAAGTCAATTTAACTGAATTTTCAAAAATGATGAAATAAAGGTACAGTTTTTTTATATATATAAATTATATTAATATATATCTATACATTCTAAAAGATTTACAATAATATTATTATTGGCAACTTACAGAATAACAACATACAAGTTTTTCTACTTTATCAGACTTTCTCCCATCCAATTTACCTGATTCTTTTTTATTATAGATTATAGGAAATGTGACAAGTCACATGGGCTAAATCTGGATGAGATGGTATAGTTACTCTATTTCCCTTCAAAAATTCAGTTACAATTTTTGTCTAGTATGATAACATATTTCCATATCATCAGGAAAATTTTTGGGATGCAATTTTATGCAAATTTAACAAGTGTAAATTTTACATAAACTAGTTAGTAATTCTGTTGATAAAGTGCATGAATTAATGATCAAAATTAAAAATTCAACTTTTATTTGTGATAAGCTTTGTACTTTCTGTAATACAAAAGAAATGATCCCATTTTGTACAAGAAAGCTTGCTGGAATTCAACTTATTATATGCTAAAATGTTTGAAAGAATTTCAACCAGTAGCATTAGTTTTACTTGCTGCTGATAATAGCAAAATCAGGATCTTTTCCAATTTCAATTTGATAAAAAAATATTAACAGTACAGTTAATAGTTTATAATTTGTAATGTTCTATAGAATACTCTTCTACTTTTTTGAACCTTTAGAAAAAGCTACAGAAGACCTTTCAGCATCATCCTATCCAATAATGATGATACTTGTTTTATTTTTGAGTGCATTAAATTGCATCTAGTAGAACAAATGGAAAAAGATGAGTTTACACAACATGAAGTAGCAGCTTCAATATCTCAAAAAATTGGTGAATATTGGGAAATAATGGATCGTTTTTCCATTGTTTCAACAACTTTGAATCCTCAAACAAAGCTTTCTATTTTTACAAAGAAAAAAGACAAAATGTTTGTGAATATGTTAACCATTTTTGAAACTTACTGGGAAATTTCTTCAGATACTTCATAAGAATATCAATCAACATCTACTAATCAACAATATTTTACAAGATGTCATTCTACAAGTTTCAACATCTGTAATCACAGCACATAGAGCATCAGAATTAGACTGGTATTTTGCATTACAAGTGGACAATGAGATAAATCCTCTCTTATAGTGACAGGCACATGTCCAAGAGTATCCAACTGTAAGTGATATGGTAAGAGATTATCTTACAATCCAAACAACCAGCATTCTCAGTTGCTGGAAATACAATTAGTAAAACACAGGATCGTTTGTTGCCAGAGACTGTAAGAGCATGTCTATACATGCAGCCCAAATTGGTTTGGTGATTTTGATGGTCAAAATTATTCCAATTTTGATGGTAGAAAGTAGAAAT